AAAGGAAGAGTGAGGGAGGAGGTGGCAGAACAAGGTCTTTTGACCTGTTGAATGCTTGTTGTATTGTATTAGTATTAATTACATGAATAATAATCAATCTCCTCTTACTTGCAGATTCAGGATTCTTAAGGACATTGGATTCCAGTATTAAGCGCAACACTGCAGTTATTAAGAAGCTGAAGCAGATCAATGAGGAACAGCGTGAATCTCTGATGGATGAGTTGAGAAGTGTCAACTTAAGCAAATTTGTAAGTGAAGCCGTGACTGCAATATGTGATGCCAAACTTAGAAGTTCTGATATACAAGCTGCAGTTCAGGTACGAGCTTTTGCAGTTTTTCACCCTGTTTTCTGTCATTTGATGTTTTTTACTCAGAAACATGGGAATCCATTGATAAGATATGGTTACTGTGTGAATTTTGTACGGTGTTACTTTTCAGTTAGTTCTAGGTAGCTGTTGTGACAACCAAATGTAGTTGTTTCTGTTCTTTGTAGGGCAAGCAGTTAGTTCAGCCATGCCAGATGACATGTGACAGTTGGCTGTAACTGTGTTTGTTCCTTGTAGAGCAAGCTACTCTTAGCAATATAATCTTTGTTTGTTGTTATGGAATTTTAATGCAATGACAAGTATGATTTTCTTGCTTCAATTCTCCCTCTCCTTCTTTCTCTTTATAAAATCTAATTGTACCTGGAACTCCAAGATCCTATTGGCATAGTACACCATCTTCTTCTTCCACTGCACTTATATCTTTCTCTCACCCAATGATAAGAAAAACCATACAAATCAAGTCTAATTAAATTTGTCATAAATTTCTAATTATGGTAACTGTACTGCACAACACTTCCTTTTCTTAAACGTTCTTCTATTGATCAAAGATAAATAATTAATTACATAGTTTAGCACACAGATGATTTTTCCACAGAAATTTTATTTCTATACTACTTTATATAGTGCATATCTTAACTTAAAATACTTGCTTCTGATATGCTCCATCATTTGCTTCTTTTTGGAAAGATTTGTTCTTTGCTTCATCAAAGGTACAAGGACTTCGCACCAAGCCTGATTCAAGGGCTTCTCAAAGTCTTCTCTCCTGGAAAGCCTGGTGATGAGTCAGACGCTGATAGAAACTTGAAGGCAATGAAGAAGCGCAGCACCCTGAAACTTCTATTGGAACTTTTCTTTGTTGGAGTTATTGAAGATGGTGGCATTTTTATAAATATCATAAAAGATCTTACGAATGGGGAACAGCTGAAAGATCGGGATGCTGCACAAACAAGTTTGACCCTTCTTTCTAGTTTTGCTCGTCAGGGGAGAATTTTTCTTGGACTCTCTGTTAGTGGGCCGGAAATTCATGAAGAGGTATTTTTTTATATTAATCTTAAGTAGAATATTCTCATGCCTTCTATAGCTTATTTTTGTCCTTTTTTCCTTTTAGATTTTGATTGACTTTCAAATTATCCTTAGTCATTTTTCATCATGATAGCAAGTTTAACTACAGCCCTCATTCGGATTTTTATATTACTCTGTATCAATGGAGGATTGTTCTCTTTTACTAGCTGAATTCTATATTATCCTGTACTGACATTCTGATGCAGTTTTTTAAAGGCCTTAACATCACAGCCGATCAGAAGAAAGTTTTCCGGAAAGCATGCTATTCCTTTTATGATGCTTCTGCTGAACTACTTCAGTCTGAGCATTCTGTAAGAGCTTCTGCCTACTAAAACACAGACACATGTATTAGAGATTTCTGAGAGAAAAAATATAGTATGAAACCTGAGAATTGTATTTCTAAAAGGTCATTCACAAACAGAAGGTTGTTATGCCCTCTTTGATTATTGCTCAATTTTGCTTTGTGACAGTCACTTCGATTAATGGAGCATGAAAATTCAAAGATTTTGAACGCAAAAGGAGAGCTTAGTGATGAAAATATTGCTTCATATGAAAAGCTTCGTAAATCCTATGACCATTTATACAGAAATGTTTCATCGTAAGTTGTTTTGTTTACTTTTGACTATTTCATTGCTGTTCATTGAATATGTTCTTAGTGTATACTGACTAAACATATTCTTGAAATACTAAGAACCCCAGTTTATGGTTTACATGTGTAGCTTTACATGCATATTTCATTCCATCACTAGCATATATGCGTGTCTTGAAAGCTTTGGTCTAGTGAGACATTCAGTCAAGCAAATTTGAGGCAAATCTGGTTATAATTATATGTTGGTTAGGTTAGTTCAGGGAAATATTTGTCTTTTAGAAACATAATGCATTTAGGTTCGTGGGTTCCTATATGTTAACATTCCATTATCTGAGGTGAGCTCCACCCTCCAGCAAGTGTTTATCTCTCTTGGCCTGGTACCCCAAATTGGTTAAAAGAATTTGTTGCCTTTGTATGACTTGAGATAAAAATATGTTCTTGAGGGCTTGAAAGACACCTCTCATGTTCTGTTATTTATATAGATAAAGAGTTGATACAATAGAGAGATAGAAGGTCAAGTCACTGTCCTAGACTGCTAGGTACAATGATTAGAGATAACCCAACACACTACCCCCTATTTTAGTCCTACTGACTACACTAACAAGTAGACTTAGTAATTATTCTAATACTCCTCCTCAAGCTGGAGCATACAGATTGTAAGTACCAAGCTTGGAACAAATAAACTCGATCCGAGGTCTCCTCAATGACTTAGTCAACACATCTGCGAGTTGGTCATTTGATCCAACAAACTGTATGATAGCTCTGCTTCACTATCCACTGAATTCAGTTATTCTTAAATTCAGTCATTCACTTTCCTGTCTAATGAACACTAAATGTTTAATGATTCTTGAGTGAATATTTCTCTGATGTCTCTAATTATTCCTTTGTTCTTCAATCCTGTAATTATGATTTTCTCGTAATAGATTAGCAGAAGCACTTGATATGCAGCCTCCTGTAATGCCAGAGGATGGACACACGACTAGGGTTACCAGTGGTGAGGAGGGTATTTCTTCTGCTTCTGGTAAAGATTCTTCTGCTGTTGAACCAATATGGGATGATGAAGATACAAGGACTTTCTATGAATGTTTACCTGATCTTAGGTTTGTTCTTCTAAAATACTTCTCTGCAACAAATATATTAGTCCAGTTGATTTCTGTATTCTTTCCTGTTTAATGTTTTGATGTAATCATGGATGGTTTGAAGTTTTCCTTTTAGTTGTTCAACAGTGTATTATTTTATAAGGAACTTTTTCCTGCATTATTTTCTCTAGAGCGTTTGTTCCTGCTGTGCTTTTGGGAGAAACAGAGCCAAAAAGCAGTGATCAATCTGCAAAGGGTCAAGACCAACCAACTGTAAGAACTCATTGGTGATTGTTTCTGAACAAGCCATAAAATTTAGACAATTTACTTAGTTTCATATTTCTTATATCTGGTTGTCCTTGTATTGGACTTATTGTGTGCATTCTTGTATCCCTCTTTTCTGTCTAATAAAATGATTTTTCTATTAAAAGACTTTTTCTGTCAATTTAGTCACTGTGCCATATAATTCTCTGAAAGAATAATATAAGCATTTACTCATATAAACATCCTGTTGGTGTTTTTTCTTTCGTTACCACCCTTCTGAAACTACTCACTTACTTCAAGATATATGTTTATCTAGGAAATAGTACCTGAATCAGACAAAGGTCAACAGACCACCCATGAAAGTGGAGAGATCTCTATAGAGTCTAATGCTTTGCCAGAGGCAGAAAGCACAGAAAGAGTGAAGGAGAAGGAAGAAAAAGAAAAGTCTAAAGAATTGGACAGAGAGAAGGAAAAAGAAAAAGATAATGATAAAAAGGGGGAAAATGAAAAAGACAAACTCAGAAGTCTTGAAGGGACAAATTTGGATGCTCTACTGCAGAGGCTTCCTGGTTGTGTGAGCCGGGACCTTATAGATCAATTAACTGTGAGGATACTTTGTTTTGCTCTATTACTTATTCTTATGTTCTTACATTGTATTGTTAATTTTTTTGTCATTGTTAATTGTTATGCCTTTTTGTTTAAAACATGTTAGGTTGAGTTCTGTTATCTGAATTCAAAATCAAATCGAAAAAAGCTTGTGAGGGCTCTGTTCAATGTGCCAAGGACATCTCTAGAACTGTTAGCATATTATTCACGCATGGTTGCCACACTCTCAACTTGTATGAAGGATGTCTCCTCCATTTTGTTACAAATGCTGGAGGAGGAATTCAATTTCTTAATAAATAAAAAGGTTATTTTACACAATTTTTCATATATGATTAATATTTTACCCTCTGCTCCAAATTTAGCTGATTACTTTTGTTAGCTGTTTTTTTGAAATGTCTTTACAGGACCAGATGAACATTGAGACAAAGATAAGGAACATCAGGTTCATTGGAGAACTTTGCAAGTTCAAAATTGCTTCTCCTGGCCTAGTTTTCAGTTGTTTGAAGGTACAATATATTAATAATCAAATTTTTATAAATGAAAGCTAGATCCTTCCAATTATGATTACAATTTTTTTGTGACGGTTCAGTTTTGCCATGAATATGTTGCGTTTTATTAAAACTCCCCTTTTATTTATTTATTTATTTTCTGATATGGAAGTCTTGGGTATTGATAAGTTCTATGACGAATTATACTTTGTTATCCTCCATATTTAATGATTTAAAAGTTTTTCATGGATCAAATGCCCTTTTGGTGCCATGGTCTTTCCTAGTATGACAAATAGCCCCTAATTCTGTTATTAGGGTACAATATGTTTTCCTGGTTCATGTGTGGAGAAGACTCCTCAGATTCTTTTTAATTTCTCGAAATTGAAAGATTCATTCAAAGTTTCAAAATAAAAAATTATTTGGGAATTTGCCCCATTGATGAGATGTAGCTGTTGAGCAAGCTTGTTTGTAGGTTATAGATTATTTGGAAGGATACAACTAGCCACTAGGATGAGGGTAAAGAAAATTCTTGAGTTGTCCATAGTTTTTTCTTTTCTTGTCTTGTAATTATTTTGAGATATAGAGAGCCAAACTAATCTTTTGTTTAAAGCCTTGCTCAATGTAAATTTAAGAAATTGTTCTTTTTGTTCATTATGAATTTGATATAAACATTGTGGTAAGTATGTTGCCGAAAGAAAAAAATCTTACCTAGGATTGGTAATGAAGTGAAAGATTGTCATTACCAGTTTTTTTTTTTTTTTTTTTNGAGGATTGTTCTCTTTTACTAGCTGAATTCTATATTATCCTGTACTGACATTCTGATGCAGTTTTTTAAAGGCCTTAACATCACAGCCGATCAGAAGAAAGTTTTCCGGAAAGCATGCTATTCCTTTTATGATGCTTCTGCTGAACTACTTCAGTCTGAGCATTCTGTAAGAGCTTCTGCCTACTAAAACACAGACACATGTATTAGAGATTTCTGAGAGAAAAAATATAGTATGAAACCTGAGAATTGTATTTCTAAAAGGTCATTCACAAACAGAAGGTTGTTATGCCCTCTTTGATTATTGCTCAATTTTGCTTTGTGACAGTCACTTCGATTAATGGAGCATGAAAATTCAAAGATTTTGAACGCAAAAGGAGAGCTTAGTGATGAAAATATTGCTTCATATGAAAAGCTTCGTAAATCCTATGACCATTTATACAGAAATGTTTCATCGTAAGTTGTTTTGTTTACTTTTGACTATTTCATTGCTGTTCATTGAATATGTTCTTAGTGTATACTGACTAAACATATTCTTGAAATACTAAGAACCCCAGTTTATGGTTTACATGTGTAGCTTTACATGCATATTTCATTCCATCACTAGCATATATGCGTGTCTTGAAAGCTTTGGTCTAGTGAGACATTCAGTCAAGCAAATTTGAGGCAAATCTGGTTATAATTATATGTTGGTTAGGTTAGTTCAGGGAAATATTTGTCTTTTAGAAACATAATGCATTTAGGTTCGTGGGTTCCTATATGTTAACATTCCATTATCTGAGGTGAGCTCCACCCTCCAGCAAGTGTTTATCTCTCTTGGCCTGGTACCCCAAATTGGTTAAAAGAATTTGTTGCCTTTGTATGACTTGAGATAAAAATATGTTCTTGAGGGCTTGAAAGACACCTCTCATGTTCTGTTATTTATATAGATAAAGAGTTGATACAATAGAGAGATAGAAGGTCAAGTCACTGTCCTAGACTGCTAGGTACAATGATTAGAGATAACCCAACACACTACCCCCTATTTTAGTCCTACTGACTACACTAACAAGTAGACTTAGTAATTATTCTAATACTCCTCCTCAAGCTGGAGCATACAGATTGTAAGTACCAAGCTTGGAACAAATAAACTCGATCCGAGGTCTCCTCAATGACTTAGTCAACACATCTGCGAGTTGGTCATTTGATCCAACAAACTGTATGATAGCTCTGCTTCACTATCCACTGAATTCAGTTATTCTTAAATTCAGTCATTCACTTTCCTGTCTAATGAACACTAAATGTTTAATGATTCTTGAGTGAATATTTCTCTGATGTCACTAATTATTCCTTTGTTCTTCAATCCTGTAATTATGATTTTCTCGTAATAGATTAGCAGAAGCACTTGATATGCAGCCTCCTGTAATGCCAGAGGATGGACACACGACTAGGGTTACCAGTGGTGAGGAGGGTATTTCTTCTGCTTCTGGTAAAGATTCTTCTGCTGTTGAACCAATATGGGATGATGAAGATACAAGGACTTTCTATGAATGTTTACCTGATCTTAGGTTTGTTCTTCTAAAATACTTCTCTGCAACAAATATATTAGTCCAGTTGATTTCTGTATTCTTTCCTGTTTAATGTTTTGATGTAATCATGGATGGTTTGAAGTTTTCCTTTTAGTTGTTCAACAGTGTATTATTTTATAAGGAACTTTTTCCTGCATTATTTTCTCTAGAGCGTTTGTTCCTGCTGTGCTTTTGGGAGAAACAGAGCCAAAAAGCAGTGATCAATCTGCAAAGGGTCAAGACCAACCAACTGTAAGAACTCATTGGTGATTGTTTCTGAACAAGCCATAAAATTTAGACAATTTACTTAGTTTCATATTTCTTATATCTGGTTGTCCTTGTATTGGACTTATTGTGTGCATTCTTGTATCCCTCTTTTCTGTCTAATAAAATGATTTTTCTATTAAAAGACTTTTTCTGTCAATTTAGTCACTGTGCCATATAATTCTCTGAAAGAATAATATAAGCATTTACTCATATAAACATCCTGTTGGTGTTTTTTCTTTCGTTACCACCCTTCTGAAACTACTCACTTACTTCAAGATATATGTTTATCTAGGAAATAGTACCTGAATCAGACAAAGGTCAACAGACCACCCATGAAAGTGGAGAGATCTCTATAGAGTCTAATGCTTTGCCAGAGGCAGAAAGCACAGAAAGAGTGAAGGAGAAGGAAGAAAAAGAAAAGTCTAAAGAATTGGACAGAGAGAAGGAAAAAGAAAAAGATAATGATAAAAAGGGGGAAAATGAAAAAGACAAACTCAGAAGTCTTGAAGGGACAAATTTGGATGCTCTACTGCAGAGGCTTCCTGGTTGTGTGAGCCGGGACCTTATAGATCAATTAACTGTGAGGATACTTTGTTTTGCTCTATTACTTATTCTTATGTTCTTACATTGTATTGTTAATTTTTTTGTCATTGTTAATTGTTATGCCTTTTTGTTTAAAACATGTTAGGTTGAGTTCTGTTATCTGAATTCAAAATCAAATCGAAAAAAGCTTGTGAGGGCTCTGTTCAATGTGCCAAGGACATCTCTAGAACTGTTAGCATATTATTCACGCATGGTTGCCACACTCTCAACTTGTATGAAGGATGTCTCCTCCATTTTGTTACAAATGCTGGAGGAGGAATTCAATTTCTTAATAAATAAAAAGGTTATTTTACACAATTTTTCATATATGATTAATATTTTACCCTCTGCTCCAAATTTAGCTGATTACTTTTGTTAGCTGTTTATTTGAAATGTCTTTACAGGACCAGATGAACATTGAGACAAAGATAAGGAACATCAGGTTCATTGGAGAACTTTGCAAGTTCAAAATTGCTTCTCCTGGCCTAGTTTTCAGTTGTTTGAAGGTACAATATATTAATAATCAAATTTTTATAAATGAAAGCTAGATCCTTCCAATTATGATTACAATTTTTTTGTGACGGTTCAGTTTTGCCATGAATATGTTGCGTTTTATTAAAACTCCCCTTTTATTTATTTATTTATTTTCTGATATGGAAGTCTTGGGTATTGATAAGTTCTATGACGAATTATACTTTGTTATCCTCCATATTTAATGATTTAAAAGTTTTTCATGGATCAAATGCCCTTTTGGTGCCATGGTCTTTCCTAGTATGACAAATAGCCCCTAATTCTGTTATTAGGGTACAATATGTTTTCCTGGTTCATGTGTGGAGAAGACTCCTCAGATTCTTTTTAATTTCTCGAAATTGAAAGATTCATTCAAAGTTTCAAAATAAAAAATTATTTGGGAATTTGCCCCATTGATGAGATGTAGCTGTTGAGCAAGCTTGTTTGTAGGTTATAGATTATTTGGAAGGATACAACTAGCCACTAGGATGAGGGTAAAGAAAATTCTTGAGTTGTCCATAGTTTTTTCTTTTCTTGTCTTGTAATTATTTTGAGATATAGAGAGCCAAACTAATCTTTTGTTTAAAGCCTTGCTCAATGTAAATTTAAGAAATTGTTCTTTTTGTTCATTATGAATTTGATATAAACATTGTGGTAAGTATGTTGCCGAAAGAAAAAAATCTTACCTAGGATTGGTAATGAAGTGAAAGATTGTCATTACCAGTTTTTTTTTTTTTTTTTCTGGAAAACTTCATTTATTTTGGTTTGGATGGCAAGGAGACATATATTCTTTGTTTCAATTGGACTCCTTATAATGGATGTTTCTACTATCATCTAAACATAATGAAGTTATTAATGACTGGACAAAACCAATAAATAACTTCTTACTTGAAAACTTTGGACTGTCATTTACTTCGACCACACCCCCAATCAATTATTTTCTCTAATATCTTGAAAAGAGGAAAATATATGATAGTTAGTCACCTGTTCTCAAGCTGCGCTTAACCTTTTATGAGTAATGAATTACGAAAGAGTTATCTGACACTTGCTGTAGTAAACTCTCTTGAATAAGTTCTAGAAACATAGCCTTCCAAATGCTTGAGAAAAATCTTTTCAATCTGGTTGAGACAACTAATCTCTATCTTGATAATTGACTAAGTTAAACAGGTTATGAATAATTGATCTTGAATTAGTTGAAGATAATACAAAGGAATTAATTGAATTTGAGAGAGTATGTTTCCCTCTCTTATGATTTCATATTTATAATCATTTTGGATAAATTAGATGCAATGTATGGGAGGGAAGAGATGAGAATTCGAAGAGATACACCTAGGAACTAGGTTCAATACAAAGCACAATAAGTTCTATTTACTACTATTTATTCTAACAGAATTAATTTGTTCTATGTTTCCCCCTTTACTTGCTCCAGGTTTAAATCTATTGAACCCTTTCTCTATTTGTTGAGAGTCAAAGAGAACGAATTTATGTAATCTTGATGTGTTCGTATATAAATTCAATCCTTGATTGATCTCTTCTCATTCTTCCAGGCCTGTTTAGATGATTTTACACATCACAACATTGATGTAGCTTGCAATCTTCTTGAAACATGTGGCCGTTTTCTGTATCGGTCTCCAGAAACTAGTATAAGAATGAGTAACATGTTGGAGATACTGATGCGCTTGAAAAATGTAAAAAATTTGGATCCGAGACATAGCACTTTAGTGGAGAATGCATACTACCTTTGCAAACCACCAGAAAGATCTGCACGAGTAGCTAAAGTTCGTCCTCCATTGCATCAGGTGAGATTTTTATTTTTATTTTTTTGTCTCAAAAAAGTTTCCTAATCATTTCATATTTTAATGACATCTTCATTGCAGTATATCAGAAAATTACTTTTCTCTGATCTTGACAAGTCTACCATTGAGCATGTGCTGAGGCAACTGCGTAAATTACCCTGGAATGAATGCGAGACATATCTTTTGAAGTGCTTCATGAAGGTCTACAAAGGAAAATATGGTCAGATCCACCTCATTGCATCTCTTGCTGCTGGATTAAGTCGCTATCATGATGAATTTGCTGTAGCTATTGTTGATGAGGTATGTTTGATATTACTCTTGATTTGTGGTCTCTTGATTGTACGATAATGCATATTTTCAGCAGTGCCTACCTGTTTGCATGGGAATTTAGTCAGACTGAACAAGGGTTGCCTCAATTGGAATCTATACACTTAATTCAACACATTAACAATAACCAAATTATTTTTATTTGTTTAATGATGAAAAATTTACTATTTCAAGTTATAGAACGAACAGTATTTCCAAGGGATGAGAGTTTTGCTGAAGATTTACCACTCCAGAAGATTTGCACTCTTGGAGTGACATTCTGACTTTGGATAAGATTTTCAGGTTCTTGAGGAGATTAGAGTTGGGCTGGAGTTAAATGACTACAGTATGCAGCAAAGACGCATTGCTTACATGCGATTTTTAGGGGAGCTTTACAACTATGAGCATGTAGACTCTTCTGTTATTTTTGAGACACTTTATCTCATTCTCGTCTATGGTCATGGGACATCAGAGGTATTGGTTTTTCACTATTTACCTATTTTTAGGAGTAGAAGGAATTAATCTTCACAGTCTGTATTGCTAAAACCTGAAAGTATGTTTGTTTAAAACAAAGGCTTCCACTCGATATGTACCAAAATTTGTTTGTGCCTTAAATTTTTCACGAGCTTTCCTTTCCATAGTCAGTATGAAGATTATACACTTCCCTCTTTTGTCAACTTTTCTTTTTTATTATAAATCCTTGCCCATTTAAGTATTACTTTATTTAAATGTCCAATAGTTTATTATTCTCTTTGATAAAAAGTTAAATTTGTTAGAGATATGAGGGACGATACAATAAAGGCAGGATGATATACTATTCAATTTAGAACGATTTGAGGATGCAATATCATTGGTTTCATTATAATTTCGTTTGGTCTTTATTAGTTTTGCAATATCACTATTCAACAATCAACAATCAACAACCAACAACCAACAACCATAGGTTTCAGGTCTCAGTTAGCTCAGCTGGTAAAGTCCTTTGTAGCTTTTGCAACTGCATGTAATAAAATCCTGCCTACACCCATTTCCTTCATGTTGTGCATGAATAAAAATAATTATTGCTCGAGTTGTAATGGCTTTTCCCGACCAAACTATATATGGACAGAAGAAAAATCATCAATTAAAGCTTATTCCATAAGCTGGAGCTGGCTAAACTGATGATTTGATCCTTTTTTATCAAAAGCCAAAACTCTCAACTGAGCATTTTGAATGTTTTTCTTAGATGTTTCTTGGCTCTTGAAGTACACTTTGACATTATCACTTCTCAATTTTAAATTAATTTTCAAACACTGAGTTTTAGCATCTCTTTCAACATAGACAAGACAACAGCACAAGCTGCCAATGACTGCATTTCAAAATAGTAGAGACCATGATGTTCATGTCCTTCCAAAAATATAAGGACTTAGTCAATTGACTTGTATAAGATTAAAAAGAAGGAACAGATAGAATAAAATTTAGATTCAATGAAGGAGAAAAAGAAACTTGTATGCAAAAGAAACTTGGAGATGTCATAGAACATAGATCCGAGAAGAAGACACCAAGAAAGAGGGTGTAAAAGGAATATACATTGCTCACCAGTATGCAAAAGGGAAAAGTTATGGCTTGGAATAGATTGCCAACTAGTATGCAATCGTGAAAAAATAATGCTTGGAATAGATCAACAAAGCTTCAGCAAATACTGCAGTGGTGGAATGATGTGTCCACAGAAAATGGTTGGCACTTGAGTTGTTAGTGTGTGAGTTATGGATCAAGGAACAAGCGTGTAACTGTGTGTGGGCTGGATTGAACTTGACAAGTCACATGTGAACCACAGATGTCAACAACAGTGTGTAGCGGCCACCTTACATTATGCTATAGCAGGATAGTGGTAGCGGATGATTGCTATTTTGATCCTTAAGTAGACTTAAATTGCATTGTATAGAACTTGCTTAAAAATAATTAAAAAATACTTAAAAAGTTAAAATCATATCTCATTAAGTTTCGTGACCAAGTAGCCCAAAGAAAAAGTTCGAAAACAACTTATTACCATGTCCAAAATAGTAAAACAGAAAGAAGTGGTTGGCCAAACGGGTTGAGTGGCAGAGGGTGGATGATCAGGTGAAGCATTGCAGCTGAACAGAAAAGAAAGAAGAAAGAATTGTGAAGTTTTTTTGTCGGAAGTTGCAGGTTAAGTTGATAGTGCCACCAGAAGTATCACTGGAAAACCTCATTGGAAACACTGCTGGAAATACTGAGGCTGAATGCAGGAAGATGAGAGGCATATGGTGGGAGGGTAGGGCTGATTTCCTAAAGAGGGGAGTGAAAATCGTGGGTTATAGGTTAAAATAGAAAGTTTCCCCTTTACCTTCAATGAAGAAAACACAACACCTATTGACTACTCTGCCTTGAATTCATCATAAAAATGGTTGCCAGCAGTGGAAGGCGAGAGATGATGGTGGCCAGTGGCAGATTTTTAATATATATATATATATATATATATATATATATATATATATATATATGTATGTATGTATATATGTGTATTTATGTAT